GTGGGGCGGTCTGTTCACCCACAAATCCGTATTGGATAGCTGGATTGGATATAGAGCTATCTAAATTGGTGATTAAAAAATTAAAATAATAAATAAAAAAAAAATAGGGATTCATATGGTTGGCATTTAAGGGGACTTGCATAAACATTAAACATGCTTAAAAAAAGAAAAAGTATATAAGGGTGACCTGGGTCGGATTTAATCCTGGCTGATTCCTATCAAAATCACCGCTCCAAATTAGATATCGTCAGGTTTCAAAACACCACTTTTTATGCAAAAGCCTAAGCCTCACGCTACAACACCCTAAAATAAAGAAAAATGAGGCATAGTGACTGTCGACCCTTTTTTATTTTCTAAAATATAATGTCTGTATTGTTCTATTTTCTGTTATAACATAAATGTCAAAATATATACGATATTTACACAAAGGTCTTTGTTGTGTTTCTGTGGCCACTAAAGACCTTATAAGAGTTTGTATTCAAATAGTTAATATAGTGGAACATAAACTCAGTGGGTATATGGTCCTTTGTGGACCAAGATAGGCAAATGCTATTTGTCGATACTCAGGCTTGGCTTAATGTACTAGGCCACTTTAGTTGGAAAACCCTTATTGCTTGGGCATAGAACAAAATTGATGAGGGTTTGTAGGGTTATCCCTCGATGATGTTGGAGTTTTTCACAAGAGTGAACCCAAGGACTGTGTGACCCTTGTGTGTGATGGTAAACTTCTAGAGTCGAGGGCCAAAGCCTCATCATTGAACGATCATACGACATGTACATATGATAGCCGTATTGAGAAAATGAATCATTATTAATGGTGAAGCATATATATGTGCGTGTGATTACCTCTATACACCATAGAGTTGTAGTTGCATTAGGTCTGTATGACCTTGGACTCGTCTCTAGGGGATAACCGGTAATCCATAGAATAGAATTGTGTCCCATTGCCTATTAGCTGACTTTGGTAGTTCAATTATGAATAATGCAGTGGTATGTGCGTCATGGGAACTGCTGTGTCAATTTGATAAAACATGTGTGGATTATAGTCCACAATAGAAAATGAAGTGCTTCAGAGATATTAATTTCTAGACTCAGTTAAATCTGATTCCCATCAAAATAAATTATTTAGAATTAATTATTTTTATGTTAAATGATTTTTAAATTGATTATTTGAATTTTTATGAATATCCAGATAATTTATTTTTAACAAAATAAATTTATAAATTAAGAGATATTTAATTTTCATTATTTATATATTCAAAGAGAAATAAAATTAATTTCCAATATTTTAAAAATCATTTCATAAATTTTATAATTTACTAAACATAGAGAGTCCACTATGAGCTATGGGATCACCATGAAACAACACATGGGAAAAATATGTGGGGGGCAGACATAAGGCCACCTAAGGCGGCACGCCCCATTTGAGTCACACTTTCTATTTTATGTTGAAGCCAAGAAGGCTTTCAATCAAGTTGAATAAATATAATATGATTTGAAATTATGGAAGAAATATTTCAATCAATATATGTTATGCGTATGAAGATTATGTGAAGCCAAGAAGGCTTTCAATCAAGTTGAATAAATATAATATGATTTGAAATTATGGAAGAATGATTTCAATCAATATATATTATGCATATGAAGATTATGTGAAATTAAAGTATGTTTGATAATATTTTTCATATTTCATTATTTGATGAGATTAGGTTTACAAAGCTGAAGGACAAGTATCTAACACATTCTTTTAAATCATGATGGATGATTTAAGGATTTAATGATTCATATCTCTCACCCCCATGTGTATCCTATGATCCATATCCTGGATCTAATCTCATTAAGGATGACTAACCTCAAAGAAACCATAACCCTTGAAAACTTTATTAATAGGGGCTCTCCCTTCTCATAATTTCTACATCTATAAACCTCTCATCTCTTTATCTACTCTCTCTAGAAGGGTAGCACTCTCTCTCTCTCTCTCTCGCTCTCTCTCTCTCTCTCTCAGTATAATTAAAAGATCATTGTAAGGAGCACACCCACCCCAATGCTACTAGACAATGAGGTCTAGGCTATGCTTCGAGATTGTTCTATGCTCTCATATTTGTAAGGGTTGTAGCTTTAGCTTTCTCATACTTTGTAAATCCAGATAGATCATTGATCTCGTGTGCCACTAGAGGAAGAGACCCAGTGTATAGTGTACTAAGTCCGGTTGATGCTTTGTGCTTTGAATCTCTTTATTTATTGTGCATTCTTATTCCATAGCATTATGTTACTTTTGTTTATTGAATAAATGAAGTTTTAATTATGGCAACAAGTAAGAACTTCTTTGGATTTTTTATTTGTTTATTTCAAGTTGATTTAATTGCATTTGGATATATATAAGTGTTATAGTTAGTGAGAAAAAATATTAAATACTATGTACACCGTGCTAGATCACCTTGTCCAGCTTTCAGTCATGCCTGTCTGAACTTTTGCATGTTTTTTCCAACTCCCCCCCCCTCCCCGGGATCCAATGTTTTAATATTAAACAAAATATTAAATTTTTTATTTTTATTTTTTTGAAGGTTGGGGTTGTATGATAGGCCAAGGGGCATCTTGGGGTCAGAAACAGCCTTTAAACTTTATTTTTGGAAGATTTTAAAAAATACTACATTCGATGTTTAAAAAAAAGAAAAAGTTTATATAAAGCCAAAGCTATAAACAATCAAATTAGAGCCCACCTCAAAAATTTCACTAGAAGATGTTGTTTTGATACCCAAATATCCTCAAATTGATCATCTCGACCTCAAGATTCATGGACATGAGAAAGATGGATTTTAAGTTTTGGAAATAGTGCATCTTGCAACACATTTTTGGAACGTCAATTTTCAAGATTTTCAAGTTTTTATAGATCTACTCGATGTACACTATTTTTGAAGCTTTAAATTTTATAATTAAAGGTGAACAATATTTTAAGGCTATCAAAAAAATTTCCAGTATTGAAACCACATTTCTCGATACTATTTGAAGGTGGGCTTTACTTTGATTGTTTAGAGCCTCAACTCTATACAAACTACATCCTTAAAAGAATAAGGCGGCAATGTTTAAACCTTATTAACATATATTTTAAACCCGCCGCACAGTTCGCATAAGGCTCATAGGATGTTTAGCAAGGTCAATTTCTTGATTATTATTATTATTATTATTATTTTTATTTAAAGTTTAAAGGATTTCTGATATTTTAAAAAGATGTCTAATATTTTGAACATCGGGCCGACCTAAAAAGGTAATAGCACCCTAGCATTTTAATGTGGTCCTTGAAATATGAATCAACCTCGAAATGGCCTTCCGGCCTATCAAACAGTTCTAAACTTTAAAAAATAACAAACTTTAGGGAAAATTACGTATATATCCGTTATAGTTTTCGTTATTATCAAAATACTAAATAGTTTTCGTTATTATTGAAATGTCTGTTTTTTTCACTTCATAACGAAAATTTAAAAAAAATTATTTTTTTACCCTTTTTCGATTGTTGAACAACCGAAAGAGGACAAAAGCTTGGAATTTGCATCGTTATTTTCGGTTGTTGAACAACCGAAAATAGAACATATTCGGTTGATCAACATTCGAAAATGTCTTGTTTTCGATTATTGAACAACCGAAAATAGGACAGAAGCTTGGAATTTACATCCTTATTTTCGGTTGTTCGACAACCGAAAACAGAATATTTTCTGTTGTTCAACATCAGAAAATGTTTTGTTTTTTTGTTGTTGAACAACTGAAAATAGGACAACCGAAAATGGGACTGCATATTCCAGAGGCTTGTTGAAATAAGCAGTCCTATGCCGAAAATAGACATTTTCAGTTGTTTAACATAAAAAAATATGACATTTTCGATTGTTAAACATCCAAAAATGTATATTACAACCGAAAATAGGACTGCATCTTCTAGAAGCTTGCTGGAATATGCAGTCCTATTTTCGGTTTTTCAACAACCGAAAATAGAACGTTTTTTGTTGGTCAACATCCCAAAATGTCTTAATTTTTGGTTGTTGAACAACCAAAAATTGGACAGAAGCTTGTAATTTGCATTCTTATTTTCTACGCTGCTGAATAAACAAATGTTTCAAATATTTAAACGAGCTCCGTTATTTTTAGCTGTTCAAAAATCGAAATGAGCTTATTTTCAATATTTGAACAACAAAAAATCCAACGAAATCGGTCGTTCAAAAACCTAAAAAATACAGTAAAAAAGTGTTTGTTTAAAAAAAGTTCCTTACGCATGAAGGATTTGCTAGAAACGTTCAGAAAAACCCTCAGCATATCTTTTATTATTTTGAAGGGATTCAAAGGAGATATTTGTCTTTTCCGTTAATAAGGACGAAAATTTGGTTCCATCAAGCGAAGCTGTGTGGACTTGAGAAAAAGCGCCCATGCGTCCGTTAATTTGCCACACAAAACCTCTCTCAGTCCTGCCACACAAACTGCACTCTACTCTGAAGAGAGAGAGGTGGGAGAGAGGTAGCCAATGTGAAACCTACAAAAGTTTAGAGAGAGAAGGAAGACTCGAGAGGGAGGCTTCCTTCTCGTTTCAGAGGCAGAGTAAGAGAGAGACGCTAGAAATTGACTTCCTATTTCTGATTACACAAGTTTAATTCCCATATAACGGTTTGGTTTTGATGGACCTGAATTTTAGGGTTTGTGTGCCACCTTCGCAAGCGATTTCATCATCCATCGCGCCCTTGAGACATTATCTTCCCTGTTCCACCTCCGAATCCTTTTGTCGCAGCAACCGGCTTTTCAGTGGTGACGGATTTTTCGTCAAATATTGCTGTTATTTTTGCTTTGTGATGATTTTTCTGATGCAATACTTTTCCCTTTTTTGTTTAGGGTTTCGGCAATTATACTTGTTATGTTATCTTCTCTCTGAACAATTTTCCTTCTTGAAGTATTTGCATATGGTATCCGTTCTTTTAGTTGTTTTACTTGTTAATTATGGATCAGAACAGTTGTAGTCATTCATAGAGTTGTTTTTTTTATGATAATGTCAGATGTGAAATGTTATGCGAATGGCACTGATGAATAATTGTCATTTGAAGGATTAAACTATTCCTGTTAGCACTCAATTACTAATATATTTGTGATTGTATTCTTCTTTTAAATATATCGCTTATTATTTTTCTACTTAATAAGTTTAAAAAAAATTGAGATGGTTTGTGCTATATGTTCCATTTTTCAGAATAAAATTTACTCTCATTCTTAGTCAGGGATCACATGGATGTAAGAACTCACATGGTCACTAATTTTGTAATAGCCTCAACCAGAGCATTTGAAAAGTGGGCGCTTGAAATTCTGTTCTTTTTCAGTCAGGGACTAAGCGTTTATAGTTGCTCCATTTCTTTACATTTAATTCCTTATTTGCTAAAGAGATGTTTTTAGATGTTGGTGCTGAATGGTTAGTCATTTCTATTTTCCAATCAGGGATTAAACAGTGTGGAATTCAGCGGAGAACTTTCACAGCAGCTAATGTTTCAGCAGGCATCTCATTGTTGACCCAAGCACCAGTTAAAGGTTCATTCTTTGTGAAAAACCCATATTTTTATTATTACCTTGATTATTTATCGTGATTATATCTTAAGTATCACAGAATTCAAATGCGAGCACTACAATATTTGAATTATGTTACTATATTAACAATCTATTTAGGACAACTATTGTGGTTAAATCGAATGTACGTTATCTCTGCTTATGCTAGGGCGTTCCTCGTAAGCGACACGCCGTACGGAACCAAATACAATGATAAATGAGCAAGGGTTAGCTACGGCTTTCTTTAGAAGTGAAGCGCCGCAGTGCCTCCCAATTGTGGTGAAAAATAAGCGAGGGTTCCCGTGACATTCTTGATGAGTGCGGGTAAAGAAGCTAGTACAAGATAATATGATTTGTTTAGCCCAGTGCCTCCCAATTGTTGTGAAAAATAGGCGAGGGTTCCCGTGACATTCTTGATGAGCGCGGGTAAAGAAGCTACTACAAGATAATATGATTTGTTTAACCCAGTGGTTTAAAAATAGCCGAGTCGGTACGGAATCGGCCGATTCGAACCTGGAATCGGTCATCCAGTGTCGATTCTTTTGTAAAACCGGGAATCGCCCGATTCTAGAGAAGAACCGACGATTCTATACAGTGAATCGCTGGATGATATCATGACTCGCTTAGTTGACGTCATGACTCGCCCGGTTCTTGACTCGCCCGGTTGACATCATGACTCGCTCGGTTCTGTGCACGCGCATGACGTCATGAGTCACAAGGGGCATTTTTGTAAATTTTCCCCATTGTCAAAAACATGTGCTCCATCACAAACTCACATTGCTACGTGCGTTTCGCGCGCGACTAGCTTTGGTAGCAAAAGACTCTTTATTGTTACCAAATTTGTTCTGTGGGTTCGATGTGGGACAATTGCGCCAAGGTAATAGCTCAGAAAGAAATATGATATAAGTATTGAGTGACCTCTTTGTATCACAACTTAACATTTGACGTGGTGGTTAGAGCGTTGTTTTAGTGCGCTGGACGTCGCGGGATCAATTCCTGCCTAGGTGCCATCATTCCTTCACAAACAAATTAATTTTTTCCTTTTTACAAAATAATTTTTTTCTACAAAAAAAATAAAAGTTTTATAAAAAATATATTTTTTGTTTAAAAAAAAATAAGGTTCTTGTCAAAAAAAAAAAGGTAATACAACAAAAATAAAATTTCTTATCAAAAAATAAAAGCTTATTGTACAAAAAATATAAGGTTCTTGTAAAAAAGAAAAAAGCAATACAACAAAATTTCTTTTTCTTGTCAAAAAATAAAATTTTATTGTAAAAAAATATAAGGTTATTCTAAAAAAAAAAAAGGTTATACAACAAGTATTCCTTGTAAAAAAAAAAAAAAGGTAATACGACAAGCATTTCTTGTAAAAAAATAAATAAAAAGTTATTGTCATAAGAAATAAAAAGTTATTGTCAAAATAAAAAGATCAAAGGTAATACAACAAATATTTATTGTGAAAAAATAAGAGGTTGGATTTGTTATTATTTGTATAATAAAATAATTATAAAATGTAAACCAACAAGTTCAATTTCAGTATATAACCAACAAGTTCAATTTCAGTATATAATGTTCTTCACCAATTCGAGATTTTGGTGGCTATTTTTTATCGATTAAAACCATCCTTTATTATAGTCCATCTATGATTATATATTTCATCCATGATAATTCTATGATTTTTCTTTTGTGTGATGTAAATTTAATAGTCAAAATAAGTTCATACAGGGAAAAAACATCTCAATATTTACATATTGATGAAAAAATGAAAATTAATAATGTAGTACCATGATTTCTTATTGAATTCCTAAAAAACAACATTTATAATGAATTTTAATAATTTTTTTAGATTTTTTTAAAGCTTAATCCAACTGATTCGGCCGATTCCCGATCCGGATCGCCGATTCACCGATCCGAATGGGTTTTTGGGGTGCCCGATCTGGGCCACCGATCCGTTTTTTAAATTATTGGTTTAGCCAAATGGAATGTAGGACCGCTTACAAGTAAGAGTATGGAACTGGTGGATACAATGAGACGAAGGAGAATAAATACATCTTTTCTGTAGGAAATTAAGAGGAAAGGGGAAAAAGCTAAGAAAATAGATGGGTATATACTTTGGTATATAGAAAAGAATAATAATAGAAATGGCACAGGCATAATTGTAGATAAATAGTTAAAAGATATAGTAGTTAATATCAAGATAGTAGGTTAGACTCCTATTAGTTAAACTTATATCAGGAGAAGAGATAATTAACGTAATTAGTGCTTATGCATTAAAAGTAGGACTAGAGGATAAAATTAAGAGACAATTCTGGGAGGACTTGGATGGACTAGTCCGAGACATACCAAATGGAGAATGGACCTTTTAAGGAGGAAAATTAAATGGTCATGTAGGGAAGGATAATATAGGATATGAAGGGGTACATGGGGGATATTGGTTTGGTGAAAGAAATGTGATGGGTGAGGCTATTCTAGATTTTGTTGTGGCCTACGACCTAGCAATAACAAACACTTACTTTAAAAAGCGAGATAAACATTCAATAACTTATAAAATTGGATCATATAAAAGCCAGATAGACTTATTCCTAGTTAAGTAGAAAGATCAACCATCATGTAAAAACTATAAGGTTATCCGAGGAGAGTTTGACTACGCAACATAGGCTCATGGTTATGGACGTCTACATAAAGAGGTGGAAGGGAAGGGGTCAAATTAACAGGCGTCCAAGAACTAGGTAGTGGAATTTTAAAAATGAGAAAATAGACTTATATAAGGATAAAGCAGTTAAAAAAAAAAAATAGAACTCTGAACATGAGACCAATTTTATGTGGAATGAGATGATTGACTGTATTAAGAAAATGGCAAAAGAAGTTTTAGGAGGAACTAGAGGAAAAAGAAACTTCGATAAGAAAACTTGGTGGTGGTGTGATGAGGTTCAGAAGGCCATTAGTGAAAAACAATCATTATGAAACTTGACAATGTAATAGAAATGATCAAAATTTATAAGAATATAAAAATGCTAAAAAAAATGCTAAACTAATATTAAGTAGTGTTTCAAAAAGCACTAGGTGGCACCTAGGCAGTCCGGGGGTCAGTCCAGGCAGCCCAGTGCCTAGGCGGCCGCCCAGGTGCTAGGCAGTCCACTTTTTGAAACAGTGATATTAAGTAAGGCTGAACTTAAGGCATATGATTATCTATACAGTAAACTGAGAACAAGAAAAAGTGAAAAGATGTCTTCAGATTAGCAAAAATGAGAGAGAAAAAATGTAGGGATCTAGACCATATGAAATACTTTAAAAGTGAGGATCAAATGGTCTTGGTGAAGAATGAAGAGGACAATGCAAGGTGAAGAGTTTATTTTAAAAAATTATTAATGATGAACATAATGAAAATACAATGGTAGAAGGAACCGTTGACATAAATGAGGGCAGAGGTCATTGATACATTCGTAGGATTAAGATATCAGAAGTCAAAGAAGTTTAAAAAAAGATGAAGATAGGAAAGAATTTAAGACCACATGGTATCTCGATAGAAGTGTAGAAGTGCATGGGGGAGATTGGCATTGACTGACTGACCAAGCTGCTTAACAAGGTTTTGAGAACAAAAAAAATACCAGACGAATGGAGGAAATATACTGTAGTACCCATTTACAAGAATAAGGGGACATACAGAATTGTGTGAACAATCGAAGGATCAAACTTATGAGATACACTATAAAGTTGTGGGAGAGAGTAATTGAAGAGCGACTAAGGCATGAAACGAGTGTTTCAGAAAATCATTTCGGTTTTATGCTAGGGAGGTCAACAATTGAGGCTATTTTCCTACCTAGGCAACTGATTGAGAAGTTTAGGGCGAAGGAAAAGACCTCCACATGGTTTTTATTGATCTAAAGAAAGCTTATAATAGAGTACCTTGAGATTTGGTTTGGTGGGTATTGGAAAAGAAATGACCTCCAGATACTATATCGACTTGGTAAGAGATATGTACGAATGAGCGCTAACTGGTGTGCAAACAATTAGTGGTGAAATGAGTGAGTTTTCATTGACAATAGGTCTACATCAGGGGTCAATGTTTAGCCCATACGTCGTTGTCTTAATTATGAACGACTTAACTAGGCACCTACAAGATGAAGTCCCATGGTGTATGTTGTTCACGAATGACAGTTTTGATTGATGAGACCTGAAGCGACGTCAACACAAAGTTAGAACTTTAGAGGGATGCTCTAGAATCTAAATGTTTTAAAATTAGCCAGACTTGGACAAAGTATAAATGCAAGTTTAGTAATAATAAGAGTGGAGATGAGGAAGTAGTTAAGATTAACGGTCAAGAAATACCAAAAAGAGTACACTTTCAATATCTTGGGTCAATAATCTAGGAAAATGGAGAGCTTGAAGAAGGGCATAGAGTTAAAGCTGGGTGGACAAAGCAAAGATGTGTAACTGGAGTTTTACGTGATCGCCGCATATTAATTAAGCTAAAGGGGAAGATCTATAGGACAACTGTGAGAGGTAGTCAAGAAACAACATGCCTATAGGATCAGTGTAGCTGAGATGAAAATATTGAGATGGATGAGTGGCATGACAAGAAGGGATAAAATTTAAAATGAATACATTTAGGAGAACTTAGGTGTGGCTCCAATAGGCGATAAGATGAGAGAAAGTAGATTTCGGTGGTTTGGTCATGTGCAGTGCCGACCCTACCCAGTACAATATCTGTTAGGAGGTGCGAGTTGGTTCAGGTAGAAGGCTCAAAAAGGATAATGCGTAAGCCCAAAAGGACATGGTTGGAAGTAGAGGGAAAGATATGGGGACTTATGGCCTCATTGAGGGTATATCCCTCGATAGAGCAGAATAGCGGACTAGGATTCATGTAGCCGAGTCCAAATAGTTGGAAAAAGGCTCTAATGATGATGATGATGATTTTGGATAAGAATGCTTTGAGATATGGAACACAATTTATTTGAGTAGTTCTGGCCCGGTTGTTTGAGATTTACCGTTTGCTGAAATTCTTCATATATAAAAAGCTATTTCTGATTCTTTTTCTTTTATGAATAACTTTTAGGTGAATTTGAGAAATGGCCCAACATAAAATGAATTCATTAGTTGTACTTTTTTTTTTTGTGGGAGAGGGGGAGGAGGGGGGGGGGGGGGGCGAAAGAGAGAGAGAGAGAGAGAGAGAGAGAGAGAGAGAGAGAGAGAGAGTGTA